GTGTGCGTGTGTGTGTGTGTGTGTGTGTGTGTGTGAGTGTGTTCCCGTCATCAATTTTATTTGTTATACAAATAATCTCCGTCATGGAAATCAAGTCAAGTTCCAAAATGACTATAAACAGATAAAAAAAAATTTTTTTTAATTAAAAATAAAAATAATACATTCTACTTGATTAAATGGTTTCAGAATGTGAGCCATTTAATCAGAATATGGAGCAATTTTATGCTACTTGCATGTTAATTTTATGATTTTTTTGCATCATTTTTTGATGACATGAGGGTGAGTAAATGATGACAGAATGATCATTTTTGAGTGATCGGGTTTCAGACACTCAGCAGCAAGTGTTTAATCCTCACCCAGTTTGTGTCTCTTCCTCTTGTCTTTCTTCTTGATGTTTTTGGCGGCTCTCTGCAGGCTGCTTCTGGCCGTTCGGTTCTTCAAGCTCAGTTTGCTCGTCTTCGTTTTCTTCACGCCAACCTTCCTCTCTTTCTTCTTCTTCCTCTTCTTCTTCTGGGCTCGTGTCGGTCCGGATTCGTCCCGTCGCAGGCGTGTGTTTCTGGTCCAGAAACGTGGAGATTCCTGCGACGCTCTGGAACAATCCGGACAGGGGCTTCGTTCCTCGGCGCTCAAGTGATTCGCATCGTTTCTAGGACTTCTGTGACTGTTCAGAGCCGGCGAGACGCCTTTATAGCAGCTGTCTCCGACTCTGAAACAAGGCTCGCAGTCAGACTCCTCGTCTTCGAGCCGCCTGTCCTCCGTCAACTGTCCTCGGACGCTCACAGAGTCCAGAGAATCTTCTCTGCACCACGAGGGAACGCCGGAGGAGCATTTCTGATCCAGATCCTCTCCGTCAGCGAGTGAATCTTCCTTCACGTCCCATGTGTTCCTGCTGGAGCTTTCCTCCTCCACCTTTACTTCATCTGCAGACACACACAGATCCTTCTCAAATTCAGCTGCAAACTCAATGAGATTTACTGGCATGAGTAGCATAGTGTAGCCAAAACATTAAGCAATAAACATCTAACATGCATATATAAATGTGTAGATAAAACCTATAATAAATTTAAAAATAATTATAAATAAAACAATAGTAGTGTAAATAAAATAAATAATTAAAAAATAATTAATAATAAAGAATAAATCAACAATAAAGTGTAAAAAATAAAATATAAATCAAATTAAATCTAAATGAAATAATTACAAATAAAATAAGTGAAATATAAATAAAATTAATAATTAAAAAATAACATCATAAATTATATAAATACATTAATAATGGTAAATAATATAAATTGTTAAAGTAAAATAAAAAATATAAATAAGATGATTAAAGTTAATAATAATAGTGTAAATTAAATCATTAAAAATAAATAATATATGATATAAATAAAATGATAAATAATAGTAAATAATACAAATGGTTAGGAATAAAATTAAAATAAATTAAATACAAATAAATTTTATTATAACCAATAATAATAGTGTACATTTAAATAAAAAAAATAAATTAAGTATAAATAAAATAATTAAAAAGTGAAGAATAAATTAAATTAAAAGATAAAAAATAAATAATAAATTAAGTATAAAAAGTGAAGAGTAAATAAATTAAAAAACAATACAGTGTAAATACAGATAAAAAAAAAATAGCAAATGACGTATAAATAAAAAAGAAAAATAAAATAAATAAAAAATTAAGTGTAAATAAAATAAATAGTTAAATTCAAATCAATAATAATAAAGTGTAATTAAAATAATTAAAAATAACAAATAATAAATAAAATAAATAATATAAAATAAAATGAATGATAAGTAAAGTATAAATACAATTCTTAAAAATAAAATCAACAATAAAACGATGTGTAAATAAAAATAAAATGAAATGTAAATAAAGTAAATAATCAATAACAAATGATTTTTTTTTTTAAATACAATAAACAGTAAATAAATAATTGTAATGATAACACGACCCACATGTCTGGTCCCTGAGCTCTGCCTCCTCTGGTTCCTGGGATCTCTGGATGTGGATCAGTGGCAGCGGCAGCTCCGCGGCTCCGCAGGGACTCTGGCTGTAGATCCGCAGGTCAGCGCCGCAGAAGTGTGGGAAGTGAATGTAAGTGTTGTCCTGCTGGTCGTAGCCCAGGATGGACTCGCGGCACTCGTGGATGGGCTGCGCGAGCACAGCGTCCTGCACCTCCTTCTGCGTCTCGTACACGTGATCACAGAGGCCCTTGAGGAGCCAGACGCGCTGCTGGAAGGGCAGCAGGTGGAAGGGTGTCTCCTCCAGAGGACTGACCGCTCCCAGAGTCCAGAAGAACTGAGGACAGAGCCCGAGGCGTTCCGCACGCGCCGCCTGATAACAACATCAGCATAATTAGGGCTGCACGATAAATCACAATCGATATTATGCAAAAGCTGCAATATTCATGCGTGCATCTTGTCAGTGAAGCACGGTTCTGTGATAAATAGTAAATCTCCATCCGAAGGCCAGAGAACTTATTAATAACTTATTAATTTTAAAAAGAGCTATATGTTAAAAGAGCTTTATGTTAAAAGCGCTATATGTTAAAAGCGCTATACTATATGTTAAAAGCGCTGTATGTTAAAAGCAATATATGTTAAAAGCACTATATGTTAAAAGAGCTATATGTTAAAAGCGCTATAATATGTTAAAAGCGCTATATGTTAAAAGTGCTGTATGTTAAAAGCGCTATACTATATGTTAAAAGCGCTATATGTTAAAAGCGTTATACCATATGTTAAAAGCACTATATTATATGTTAGTTAAAAGCGCTGTATGTTAAAAGCGCTATACTATATGTTAAAAGCGCTATATGTTAAAAGCGCTATGCTATATGTTAAAAGCGCTGTATGTTAAAAGCACTATACTATATGTTAAAAGCGCTATATGTTAAAAGCGCTATGCTATATGTTAAAAGCGCTGTATGTTAAAAGCGCTATATGTTAAAAGCACTATACTATATGTTAAAAGCGCTATATGTTAAAAGCGCTATGCTATATGTTAAAAGCGCTGTATGTTAAAAGCGCTGTATGTTAAAAGCACTGTATGTTAAAACCGCTATACTATATGTTAAAAGCACTGTATGTTAAAAGCGCTATATGTTAAAAGCACTGTATGTTAAAAGCGCTATATGTTAAAAGCACTGTATGTTAAAAGCACTATACTATATGTTAAAAGCACTGTATGTTAAAAGCGCTATACTATATGTTAAAAGCAATATATGTTAAAAGCACTATACTATATGTTAAAAGCGCTGTATGTTAAAAGCACTATACTATATGTTAAAAGCGCTATATCTTAAAAGAACTATATGTTAAAAGCGCTATATGTTAAAAGCGCTATACACTATGTTAAAAGCGCTGTATGTTAAAAGCAATATATGTTAAAAGCACTATATGTTAAAAGCGCTATACTATATGTTAAAAGCGCTGTATGTTAAAAGCGCTGTATGTTAAAAGCACTGTATGTTAAAACCGCTATACTATATGTTAAAAGCACTGTATGTTAAAAGCGCTATATGTTAAAAGCTTAAAAGTGCTGTATGTTAAAAGCACTATATGTTAAAAGCGCTATATGTTAAAAGCGATGTATGTTAAAAGAGCTATATGTTAAAAGAGCTATATGTTAAAAGTGCTGTATGTTAAAAGCACTGTATGTTAAAAGTGCTGTATGTTAAAAGCACTGTATGTTAAAAGTGCTGTATGTTAAAAGCACTATATGTTAAAAGCACTAGATGTTAAAAGCGCTGTAGGTTAAAAGCACGAGATGTTAAAAGCGCTGTAGGTTAAAAGCACTATATGTTAAAAGCGCTGTATGTTAAAAGAGCTATATGTTAAAAGCACTAGATGTTAAAAGCACTAGATGTTAAAAGCGCTGTATGTTAAAAGCACTAGATGTTAAAAGCGCTGTATGTTAAAAGCACTAGATGTTAAAAGCACTGCATGAATGAGTGTGACCTGACCTGGCGTGCCTCCTCGGTGCGGCCGACCGCTCTGTACCAGCTCTGGACGCGGCGGCGCAGCTCGCTCTCCCACCGTCTGTAGAGCAGCTGCGGGCGACGGGGGACGCCGGATCTCTTCTGCGGGGGGCAGAGGAGCGCCGTCATGACCTTCGCCAAGAATACGCTGCAGCGTGGCATCAGCAGACAGCGCTCCAGCTCGTAGAAGACGATCTCGGGGAGGTGGAGCGCCGTCTGAGCCAGGCACAGGAAGTGACCGATTGCAGGAAGTTCCCACAGACTCCACAGTGAACACGGCTCGGCCAGAGACAGTAAAGAGCTCTCCCAGTCCTCCAGCTCCTTCACTGAGGCCTCCTCGGCCTCCTTACGCTCCTGCTCTCGCTGCCTGCGGGACAGAGATCACAGCTACGCTCACACCAGTACACCACATTCATAACATTACAAATGTTAAAGGAGTAGTTCACTTCCAGAAAAATTTTTTACAGATAATGTACTTACCCCCTTGTCATCCAAGATGTTCATGTTTTTCTTTCTTCAGTCGTAAAGAAATTATGTTTTTTTGAGGAAAACATTTCAGGATTTTTCTCCATATAATGGACTTCTATGGTGCCTCCGGGTTTGAACTTCCAAAATGCAGTTTAAATGCAGCTTCAAAGGTCTCTAAACGATCCCAGCCGAGGAAGAAGGGTCTTATCTAGCGAAACGATCGGTTACTTTCTAAAGAAATGTATATACTTTTTAACCTCAAACGCTTGTCTTGTCTAGCTCTGCCTGAACTGAACTGAACTGTGTATTCCGGTTCATGACAGTTAGGGTATGTCTAAAAACTCCCATCTCATTTTCGCCTCCAACTTCAAAATCGTCCTACATTGCTGCAGAAGCACAGACCCAGTGTTTAAAAGTGAACATGCAAAGAAGGTCAAATGCCCTTTACAAAAAAACTGTAAAACAGCGATGTAGGACGATTTAGGACGATTTTGAAGTTGGAGGAGAAAACGAGACGGGAGTTTTTAGACATACCCTAACTGTCATGAACCGGAATACACAGTTCAGTTCAGGCAGTTAGACAAGACAAGCGTTTGAGGTTAAAAAGTATATAAATTGTACATTTCTTTAGAAAGTAACCGATCGTTTCACTAGATAAGACCCTTCTTCCTCGGCTGGGATCATTTAGAGCCCTTTAAAGCTGCATTTAAACTGCATTTTGGAAGTTTAAACTCAGGGGCACCATAGAAGTCCATTATATGGAGAGAAATCCTGAAATGTTTTCCTCAAAAAAACAATTTCTTTACGACTGAAGAAAGAAAAACATGAACATCTTGGATGACAAGGGGGTGAGAGTACATTATCTGTACATTTTTGTTCTGGAAGTGAACTACTCCTTTAAGAGATTCAGGTGTGATAAAGAAAACACAGAATGCACAGAAACTTAAAGCTCTTCACTACAAACGTAGAAATTATGACAAAAATGTATCACTAAAATATATTATTGTTTAGTCTGTTTTATGGAATATATAAACATACTATTGTATAATGAAAGTAATAATAATAATAATAATTTATTTACAACATTTATTTAAAATTATTCTACGGAATATCACATAATCAATAGTTTTTTTTTTTTTTTACAGTAATTTTATACAGTGTACCTCCGTTGTGCAGCACTTTTGTTTTACCAAATAAATAAATAATGAAATGTTTGTTATAATGGAAATGTTATATTTTGATTACATTTGAAAAGACTGATAAAGTTTTATGAATTCCTTTCATTACCACTGTTTTTGAGAAAACATTTTTTGGGTTAAATAACAAAACACAACATCCAGAAACAATTAAACTGGAAAATATAATATTTGGGGGAAATTAAAAAGCAGGATTTGGGAAAAAATTTAAACTGATTTCATAGGGCCTTGTTATTGTTACATTTTTAATAAAATATAAAATTGTTTTGAAGTTTTATTAATTCAGTTGTTTAGACATGCTTTCGGGTTATTGAAATTTAAACTATTAAAACGGAATCCAGAAAATAATTAATTTTAATAAAATTAAATGGAATTTTGGAGAAAAAATAGGGTCCCACTATTGTTAAAATTTTAATATAAAATTTAATTTTTCAAGTTTTATTAATTTAGTTTATAAGACATGCTTTTTGATTATTAAAAATAAATTAAACCATTAAAATGGAATTCAGAAAAAAATGAATATGGGAAACATAGAACTTGGGAACAAAATAAAGCAGCATCTAAGGGAAAAAAATACACTTATATCATTGGGTTTGTTACTGTAAAATTTTATTAAATTATTAAATTGTTGAAGATTGATTAATTCAGTTGGTTAGATATGCTTTCTGATTAGAAAAATGTAAACTATTAAAACAAAATCCAGAAAATATTTGATTAAAACAATTTGGAAAAAAAGTTCATGGAATTTGGGGAAAAAAATAAAATGGATTTCAAAGGGCCCTGTTATTGTTAAAATTGTAATAAAAAAAATAAATTGTTGAAGTTTTATTCATTCCATTGTTTAAAATGTAATTAAATCATTAAAACGGAATCAAGAAAAAAGAAAAAGAAAATGCCATGCCTTTTGAGGATTAAAATGTCTTTCAACTAGGGTTGCAAAGGGGTGGAAAATTTCCGGTAAATTTCTGGAAACTTTCCCAAAAATCCCTGGAATATTAAAAAAAAAAAAAATCCTGGAAATTTTCCACCTTTTTGCAACCCTACTTTCAACCATTAAATCCAGAAAAACTAAAAGAGTAGCAGGTTGATGAGGATAGAGTTGTTCTGACCTCTTCTCGTCTTTGGCTCGCTGCAGCTCCTCCAGTCTCAGCGCCTGCACCATGATGGACTCGCTGCCGCCTCCCATGATGCTCCGGGGCACCGACCTCCGTCTGGATGAAGAACCCAGCGCCGCTTTCTCATCCTCCGTCCCAAACCGGCCTCCGGAGGTCACAGCCAGCGTGGTTTTCTCCCGCAGCGACCTGACCATCAGCACAGAAATCAACACAATCACTGATAATCAGAGCCATCAGGACAGGAAAAAAGCCCAGTTTGATGATTCCAGAATAACTAGGTACTAGTAATATAGTTCAAGCTGATTGGACTGAATATTATAGGATTTGGTCAGATGCGAAGCACAGGCACAATCAACTTCTTTTTGATTGTTTTTGCTCGTTTGAGTGAGTCTAATTTTAATACAGTCAACTAGATTAATAAAACATAATGAAACGCTTTAACATTTAAATATCACCATACTTCTATGAAAGCCCATTTTCACCACATTAAAATATAGGTAATTTTGAGGTTTTTTCCGTACAATTCTGGGTCTATGTATATCACAATTCTGACTTTTTTCTCTGAATTCTGAGTTTACACTGTGCTATTGTTTTTTTTTTGAAAAATAGAATTTTTAGAATTTTTTATTTTTATTCCATGTACTTCCCTATTTGATCGATAACATTACGAATTGCAAACGTTTTATGTATTACACGTTTTACAATGCTATGTTTAAATACGCAAAAACAAGGCATTATCTAATTAAAAATGCACTAATATGCATACATTTTTAGATAAATCCATGTTCAAAACTCTTGTTTGATTTTGTTGTGATAATAGAGTTAAAGGTTCTTCCAGAGGGGATTCTGGATTTCTCTTTTTATCACTCTATAAATCAGAAAATACTGTCAACAGACGGAAAACAAACATTTCCACCATTTCTTAAGAGTAAAATGTTGTATAAATCAGTGTGAATGAAATATGAATAAACCTTCAGAATATAGAGAGAAATAAAACTAAAGTTCGGTGTTCGGGGCGCGTGATGGATTTATGCTTATGGTAATTTTTTAAAATTATTTTATTAATATTTTTATTTTAGTTAAAGTTTTGGTTATTCTGTTGTGTTTTTGTCATTTTTATTAGTTTTTCTTGAATTTGAAAATGTTTATTTTAGTGCAAGTTAAACCAAACGAAAAATGATTATATTTATTACATTTTATTTCAAGTATCAAAAATGTGAATTCATGGTTTTAGTTTTAGTTAACAATAATAACCCTGCTCATAAGAGCTCTGATAGTGTAGAGCAACCTATTAAACTCAAAATGAACATTTTCTGTAATTTAAAGCTAAAATGAGTTTAAAAACACATTAACTTTTTATTAAAAGTAACATGTCTCCTTTACATATCTAACCCTATATAACCTAATGCATCATATTTTATACGCAAAGCCTCTAAATGATCAACAAGATGCTGTTAAACCCGTTTCAGATAAAGTGCAATAAAATTAAAACTTAAGTGCATTTTGCATGTCTTCTTTTCACTAGTCTGAAAATAAAACACATTATGAAAAGCCAAAGATGACAATAATTTGGCTTGCACTTTATGGATTCTTATTGCACTTTTACGTCGTAGGCTGCTCTGAAGTTATCTCGTTGTTATTTCTAACAGTGACAAATCAATAATAATCTAAAATCTCAAAACTGACCATTGCATGAAAACCAATGGTTTTGCATGCAATGTCTCATCTCAAACTCCTCGCCATTGATTTTTCCTTTCACCTGGACAACAAGGTCAGCTTTTGCTCTAGAATGATCTCCAATTTCTGGGCCTGTTTGGAGATCCAGTGATCGACGCCGTGAAAGCGGTAACAGTTCTCTAGCATCAGTCTGAAATCTGACACGAACGCCGTGATGGACTCGTACTCGTGATTCACGAACTTATCGTCCATCTTTCTGAAGCACATCTCGGCGTGGTCCCCGGGGCCCATGGGACACCAGAACGGGGCCGTGATGCACTTATGCTTCTCTGAGAGGAAGCTCTGAAATATTCTGAAGGCCTGCTGGATCTCGGGCGTGAGATCGTCCTCGTCGTCCAAGTGTGCCGTGAGATTCTCCAGCCCTGATTGGTCAGTCGAACCGTTGCAGGAGGTCAAGGTCAAACGGAGGTTCGGGTTCATGTCCGGGGAGGCGTGTGATGCGGATTCACATTCGTGTGCGTCCTCGCACGAGTCCGAATGAAGCTTCATTCTCCCGCCGTGATGCTGAGGGCCTCGCTCACCTGCACAGGTAACCTTACCGCCAGCATCATCTGTCAATCAACGTCAATCTGTCATCACAAGAAGCCATTGCTGTTCCTGATGGAGCCTGTTTGAAGACAAACAAAACACTTCAATTGCACTACTAAAACAACTTCCTAGGATCATTATAAGCGTGCTAAATAACACCTGATGAATAAATAAGCATGCAAGACTTCAATGCATTTCTATAAACAATCCGCTTAAACTCATTTAAAGTGCATTAACCCGCTCTAAATTGAGTTAATCTCTCATTCTCGTCATCGTGTTAATGTTTCGTGAGTTTTTACGACATTACCGGAGCGCTGTTCTGGGTTGTCGAGTGAAACATTAAACCGCCCGCACTAGGCCGCAGCGACAGCGGCCTCGATTTGACTCTCACACCGGGGAGGGCTCGCCTGAACCGGGCAGCCGCCGCTCTCTCTCCCGCCGACCGCTGAAGCTCATAGTTCCAGTGCGGCGCGATTTGTCAGTAAACACAGTTGAAACCCGAAGTGCGGCTGTTTTGCAGCGTCGCAAAGGAAAATCTGGCAGATTTTGCGAAAAACGAGCGGCGGAGAAACGCGTGTTGATGGAGATTGACTTGAAAGAAACACGGCGACATTCACACGGCGCTGTGTGTGTGTGTGTGTGTGTGTGCGCGCGTGCGCCCGCGAGTGTGTGTCTGTGTGTCTGTGTGTGTGTTTGCAGAAAAAATACAACTTTACATAGCCTTCATATTTTGTAAAGCAGCATGGTAAACCCCATGTTTTATTACAACGAAGAGAAAAGCACTGAAATCTGATTCTATTCTCCATTTGCTCCAGGCCAGAAACACGAACCTGTGAATATTCTAGAATATTCTCCTTTTATTCGACCTAAAACAGACAGACAAAATAGAAAATGTCAAGAAAATGCCCGGATCATATTTCACCCCCCAAAGAAAAAGAAGGAAAATAAAGATTTTGTTTTTTTATTGTGTAACACGTTAATATTATTATTATTATTATTATGTAATAATTATTATATTAATATTATGATATGCTTAATTATCATATTTTCATGATATTTTAGCACTTCAAAATTCTTCATAAAGAAAACATTTAAATATTATTATGTAATATTTATCATGTAATGTAAGAAGAAAATACAAAGAACATAAAATAAAAAAAGGAAAGGAAGAATAAACAAATAATCCTCAATAAGTTATCAAATATAAGATCTAGGAGTATAAGTTCTTTAAAAATGTTATTCTTATTATTTATGATTTTTAAGAGATTTGACAGTATGGGAACTCTCAACAAAGTGTTTGCAATGTGAAAACATGGTTGCAACCAGAAAACCCTAACAGGAGATCGATAACTTCAGTTCTTCCGGAGGGAATGCACCTGATCGGATTGATCACCTCTGTGACGTCATCGATCAGCCACGTGATGCTCTCAGTGACCACTAGATGTCTCCAGCGTTCATCAGAAAACACTGAAGATGATCACAATACTTCACAATAGTGCACTACATACTACTCTTGAGAAACTAGTAGGGTTAGGGTTAGTGTGGTAGTGAACAGCTGACCATATTAACCACTTACCGTAGTACAGTAACTTCCCATATTCATTGGAGATGTTACAGTAGTAACTGCAGTAACCGTGGTAGTTAGGGTGGAAACTGCGGTTACCATGGCAACCTCCTCCCAGCTGCTGGAGTCGGCATAGTAACCAGACCATAATACACACATGTACGGTATATATTTGGTTCAATTATTCCGAAAAAAAAAAACACCTGTTCTTGAAATTCACAAAATCCACTACTGCAAACACAAACTACCAGTTTCAGGAACATTATGTTTAAATCATGAATTTACCACTGAAACGATTCATAAAATCATAGATTGTTACTGTAAGTGTGATAATTAAATGAATGCGATTAAATGGAAACGGGTGTGTCTCAGTTTCAGATCTCAACAACAGCTCTAGACTCTGACTGGATGAAAACTAGTCACTCACTTGAATCTGTTTGGATTTTTTTTTAAGGGCTTTTAGGAGAAATATCTCAGATAAAGTTGATATTTCAAAGAAATACAGTAAAGAACGTCATTATGTTTACTGACCAAAAAAGAAAAAAGACAATCACAATAAAACCCCAAATATTAGATCTGATCTCTATGGAAGCTTGTTTCTGGCTCAGAATAAAAAAAGTATTTTCAATTTTTTCCTCGCAATTCTGAGTTTACTTTTCGCAATTCTGACTTTTTACTCGCAATTCGGAGTTTACATCTCGCAATTCTGAGTTTATATCTTGCAATTCCAAGTTTACTTTTCGGAATTTCTACTTTTTGCTCCCAATTCTGAGTTTACATCTCGCAATTTTAACTTTTTGCTCGCAATTCTGAGTTTACATCTCCCAATTCTGAGTTTACATCTCGCAATTCTGAGTTTACATCTCCCAATTCTGAGTTTACATCTCCCAATTCTGAGTTTACATCTCCCAATTCTGAGTTTACATCTCCCAATTCTGAGTTTACATCTCCCAATTCTGAGTTTACATCTCCCAATTCTGAGTTTACATCTCCCAATTCTGAGTTTACATCTCCCAATTCTGAGTTTACATCTCCCAATTCTGAGTTTACATCTCCCAATTCTGAGTTTACATCTCCCAATTCTGAGTTTACATCTCCCAATTCTGACTTTTTACTCGCAATTCTGAGTTTATATCTCGCAATTCCGAGTTTACATCTCACAATTCCGAGTTTACTTTTCAGAATTTCGACTTTTTACTCACAATTCTGAGTTTATATCTTGCAATTCCGAGTTTACATCTCACAATTTTAACTTTTTACTCGCAATTCTGAGTGTACATCTCGCAATTCTGACTTTTTACTCGTAATTCTGAGTTTATATCTTGCAATTCTGAGTATCTCGCAACTCTTTTTTGAGAAAATAAGATGTCACAATTAACTTTCTTTTAACCTTTTTAGCATGTGTTGGAAACAAGCTTCCACAGATCTGTCTCTTCTCTGCATTAAACAACTTTCCATCAAATGTTGAACCGAAGTCATGATGACAGACAACTGAAGAACAATCACACGACTATTCTGGAATCAAAATATTTAATAAGTACATTAACAAGTATTATACCATGTATAAAATTCGGAATCACGATTCGAAGCGATGTTTCTGCCGGGACCGCAGATCAGATTAGCCACACTGAAACAGCGAACGGTGAAAGTCAAACAGGTAGGAAAATAAACCGACGGCTCCGTCACAATCTCATTTCTCATCGTCAGTAAGTGCAATAAAACATAAAACACCACAGGAAAGAGCGAAGCAGAAGAGCGAGAGCGTGAGAGAAAACAGCCAAGATCACAGACGAGAGGAAAGCCAGCACTGGAAATCAAAGACGGGATATCGCTGTGGGAATGACACACGTCACAGACGAGCAGATAAACATCGTACATCTGCAGTTCCTGAAAAACAAAAGCAGAAATCACCACGAAAAGAGACGAACAGGCCGAGCAACAAACAACCGAAGGGAACAAACAGGGAACAGATGAACGCTTCGGATCACGTTCACGATGATTGAGCAGCGGATTCGCTCCATCTGTCACGACAATCCAGCTGAAGATGGAGAAACAAAAGCAGATCTGGAGAGATTCGCACCGATTCTCCATTTCACCGCAGCTTTCAGCTTCATTAGAGCAGCGGATCAAAGATTCAGTCATTCGATTCCCGTCAAGAACACGTTTGACTCAGTTCACTCCGAAATGAATCAAAGGTACAAAGAATTATATTCTGCATTAAGAAAATGAAGCCTATTTTAAAGACCATTCAGATATTCTAAATAGTGACATTATTTTTTTTATTAAATGTAAACACATTTTATGCCATTAATATAATGCAAAAAAACTGATATATTATTTTTTGTTAAATTGTATTTATATACTTTAAATATTAAAAGTAAATATAAAAACGATACATATTAAAAGCATTTACACATTGTATTTGTTGCACTGCCTCTAATTTTATGCTTGTTTTAATAACAAACATCTTTTTTTTTTTTTTTAAGTAATTAGACTTGAAAATCATTGAGACTAAAGAGAAATAAAAAATAACTCAAAACTAAAACATATGGACACATTCATGAGAATTTGGGATAAAATGTGTTTAAGTGTGTCACGACACAAATTATTATAAAAATAGGCTTCTTTTGTGCAAAATATAATTATTTTATATTTATTTATTTATTTATTTTATATTTAATTGCATAATTTTAATTAAATAATTAATATAATTATGTTGATTTCAAATTTAATTATACAGAATAATTATTTGAATTATTAACTAATATATATATATATATATATATATATATAAATTTATACAATTAATAATTGATATATTTATTTTATTTTTGGGTGAAATTAGTTGGAAGTGTTTTTGACAGGGTTTGATTCTTACGTTAACATTAATTTGACTGATTTAGGAGATTCTGTGGTCACTGCTGATCCAGACGCTGATGTGTGTCGACGGGTTCGAGTCCCAGCATCCGTTGGGTTTGCGGTCGTGAACACAGATGTCAGGCTGGTGTGTGTGTGTGTGCGCGTGTGTGTGAGAGACGCTTGTGCGGAGAGCAGATCTTTGTCCGTTTTTTGTGGATGAGATTCATCGTCCTTTGCTGTATCCGGGGAAGAACTGATCCAGGAGCAGCTGAAGGGTTTTGTTGAGGCTCATAACATAGTCTTTGCCCAGATCGTGACGGCAGGCGGGACACGAGAAGACCTCGGCGCGGAACGAGCGCTGCAGACACGTCTGGAGGAGAACACACACACCGTTACTGACACACACACACACACACACACACACAGACGCACACGCACACGCACACTCACTCGCACGCACGCACACTCACACTCACACTCACACACACTCACACACACTCACACACACAGCCGACACATGACAGTAGTGATGAGTTTAACTCAAACCTTGCAGACGTTGTGTGAACACTCGGTGGTGACGGGCTGAAAGGACAGCTCCTGACAACAAACACACATGAACATCTGCTCCACCTTCCGTAGGAAGTTCTGCAGGACAACAGGAAGTCATGCATCAGCACTGTGCTATTTTACTGTTATTGAGATACTATTATAGTTTTTATTCATATTTTGAATGTTTTTATTTTTATACTTTCTGTTTTCATTTGAATTTAATATCAGCATCTGCACCAAATTCATATTTTTGCTCAGTTTTATTCTCTGAATAAAACTGAGCTTCATGTTCTCACTGTATCTGACTATATGAGCCATAAAAGCCTGATGGAGCAAATATGACACTCAACATAATGCACACACAGTGGTTGGCCAAAATGATTAGAACACTAGTATTCCCAGCAGCTAAAAATGGTTTTAAGTCAGTTATTTCTATGTTTTGCTGTAGTGTGTCAGTAGGAAATATCAGTTTACATTTCCAAACATTCATTGTGCCATTAATTGTAATAATCCAGTGAGATTTTTGTCTGACAACAGACTGAGACAGACTCAATCCAGAAGAACTACATTAAACACTTCTCTTATAGACAGCTACAGATCTGTCTCTCTCCTTCCATTCATAGCGAAAACCCTCGAACGAGTTGTTTTCAGTCAGGTATCATTGTTTCTTTCACAGAACAACAAACTGGATGCTAACCAGTCAGGTTTCAGGAGTGGACATTCAACTAAGACTGCGCTACTGTCAGTCACGGAAGCCGTGCGGTAGTGTTGGGCGGTATGACCAAAAATTTATATCACGGTATTTTTCAAAATTATACCGGTTTCACGGTACATGACGGTATTTTTTTTCATGCATGACCGGGTGTTAACCATACTTTCTACTGATTGAAAGGAAATACTGCAGTGTATTGACATGCCCTATTTTACTGTCATGATGAGTGAATATTGTCAAAAAATACCACACTAAATAGTGACTAAACACGACCCCTTTTAATACATGTTAACCAGGAGTCCCTCTCATTTACAATCGCGGCATCGTCTGATAAAATCAACATGCATCTAACACTAAAGAGCGGCTATACGGTTGTTTTGGCTATATTACTTTTTTTGGAAATTGGAAATTTTCCAACCGAACCATAGCTAAGGTTATCCAAAAAAGTCGCTAGGTTTGTCAGTATGAATATTCTATGGAAAAAAGCCGCTAAAAGGGTCTGAAAGTTGCTAAATCTAGTGCTAAAGTCGCGCTCGTGTGTGTGAGACGCGGGAGCTGATGGCAGGGGGCGGTGGATATTTGTGGCGGTCAATGTGGATATTGTGGATGAGTTCTTCTGTGTCATCACGTTCTATTAGTTCTACAGCTTCAGTTTCGGAACTTTCACGCTTAGTAACACATACAGCTGTTCCCTCACCACAGTGCAACAGTGAAAAGGGACCCCTTTCAAACAGTGTTGCTTTCCGAACGTTGTTTAAGCGACATACACCGGTAATCTTTAATGACCAGCTGACCTTCAAAGACCACATTGCAAAGACTGCTCGATCTTGCAGGTTTGCATTGCACAACATCAGAAAGATCAGGTCCTTTCTAACGGAGCATGCTACACAACTTCTTGTCCAGGTCCTTGTCATTTCTAGGCTGGACTACTGCAATGCTCTTCTGGCTGGACTTCCATCAAGCACAATCAAACCTCTACAAATGATTCAGAATGCAGCGGTACGACTGGTCTTCAACGAGCCCAAAAGAGCCCATGTTACACCTCTCTTTATCTCCTTGCACTGGCTACGGTGCACTTGAGCAGAGTTTCTCAGGAGCTTTGCAGGAGGTTTCTTGAAGCATCAGTTCTTCTGGATTGAGTCTGTCTCAGTTTGTTCTGTTTCTTCATGTGACTCCAGACAGACTGATGATGAGAGATCAGATCTCTGTGTGGAGCACAAAAATGTCACTGCATTATTACAATTAATGGCCAAAATTAATGTTTGGAAATGTAAACTGATATTTCCTACTGACACACTGACTTAAAACCATTTTTAGCTGCTGGAAATACTAGTGTTCTAATCATTTTGGCCACCAGTGTAAATTCAGTGTAAAAACTCTTGTCTATAGGTTTAGTGTGTACCGGTCCCTCCGATAGGAAGCTCAGCGCTTCGTCCCACAGCTTCCTGTTGGGTTCGTCTTCCTGTATCAGATTCCGCTGCTGTTCCGACAGAACGAACGACTCCACTTCCACACACACACACACACACACACACACAAACACGTTCACATACATACAGCTCTTTGAAATCAGTTTTTTTCCCCAAATTTCGTTTTATTTTTTTTTTATTTTTCTTGACTCTTTTTTTAATGGTTAAATGACATGTTATTTACATGTTTAGGGCCCTATGAAATTTTAAATTTTTCTCACCATGTGTTTGATCAAATTCTGTGCTTTAGCATGTCTATTTATTTGAATGCATAAAAACAACTTAATATATTCAAATTTATTCTTAAATTAGCCTTATGAAATGTTTTTTTTCCCCATCAGAAATTCTGTATTGTGTATTTAAATTTTTCCTGGTTATCATATATCAAGGCATAAAACATTAATTTAATTTAATTATTGAAAATTAAACAAACTTTATTTTTTGGCAAACAAAGAGGATTTACTATTAAAATGTAAAACATGAAAGAAATGTTGTGTGTTTACTCCTTAAAAAATAATGTTTGTTTAATTTCAGTAGTAATAGTAGTAGTACATACATTCTTCTGAATAATATAATATATTTCTGGCACAATGTCTTCAAGTTAAACTGGACTTTTATTTTGACGGGTTGCCGTGAAAACCTTTACAGTTCTGTGTGTATATATGATATGATATATATGTAGTTAATGGTTGGGGAAAAATCTGATGTGATTAAAAGAAAAGACAGTCACTCGCTGCTCTTGATTAAACTACTGTTCATTTGCATTTGCATGACCTACTTTAGATTAACGCATCCAAACTTCCGTGTTAACATTCCGAGTTAAACAGTATTCCAATTTTATGCCTGGATTCCGTGATTCTGTCATAGGGCCCTACACACAGCTGTATAATGACACTGTACCTGTGTTCTCCTCTTCTTCTTCGTGAGCGTCTGCGCTGCCGTTGCTCTGCAGCTCTTCCTCCGTGTTCTCCGCTGGTTTCTCCTCCTCTTCCTCCTGGACTCTCTTGGACGGTCGTGTGGCTCGGGGTCGTCCTCTCTTTCTGCCGCGCGTCGAGCTGCCCACCGATCGCACCGTCGCCTCGCGCTTCGTCTTATTGGCCATGGCCTCCAAATACCCAGGAGGATACTGAGACACACAAACACATGTATGAATTAATATATATGACCCTGGAGCACAAAAGCAGTCATAAGTAGCACAGGTATATTTGTGTCTCTCGGTGCATGCTGGGAAGCGGTAGTGTGGGAGGGTGATCACGGTGAGAGGGAAAATTGAAAGTTTTTCCTAACTACTCTCTTGGGAGTTTTTTTTTTTTTTGGAAGGGTTTCTATGTGTTTATTTTCGCAGGATTAGTTTGATTTTTGTTTGATTTGACAAATTTCTAATTTTTGTTCGTGTATAATAGGCTAATACTGTCATTGCAGGACGGAGATGGCGTCGCACTTGAGTGTGCAGGCGTCATCTCTGTCACTCCGTCATGGTATTAGGTGTGTCACGAATAATGGAGAATCTGTGGAAGACGTGCTGTTAGAGGTGGCTGAGAAAGTGGGACATGAAAATATTGTCTCTGCGTCCCGAATGAATAAAGCGGTGGTGGTTTTTCTCAAGGATGAACTACTAGTCTACCGTATGATTGAAAGCGGGATTTCGGTAAGTGGCGCTTTTGTTCATGTTCAACCATTAATGACCCCAACAAGTAAAGTGACAATTTCAAATGTTCTGCCGTTCATTCTTGATGCTGAAATTGAGCGTGAGCTAACGCGTTTCGGGAAACTCGCCAGTGGAATCAGAATGGTTCCACTTGGCTGCAAAAACACGCATTTGAAACATGTGCTGTCGTTTAGGCGACAAGTGTTTATGTTTTTAAATTCGCAAACGCTAAACGTGTCGTTTCGATGCATGTATGAAGGCAGGTCGTTTATGTTGTATGCAAGCACAGGTGAGATGCGCTGTTATGAGTGCGGTGCGGTTGGGCACGTTAAGTTATCTTGTCCTGCTAGTGTTGTAGCAGGCCCGAGTGGAATTGAAACTGAAGTGCAAGTGAATTCACATAGAAATCAAACGATAGTCAATACTGATGATGTGGGAAATGATAAAGAGATTCTTACTGAGGAAGTAAGGAATGATGAGGACATTGTTATTGAGAGTGTAAGGAAGAATAAGGAGTTGTCTGATGAGAATGAGCAAAGGGTTGAAAGAGATGAAGTTCAGATGTCTGATATAAATGAGGTGGAAAGGAAGGAACATCAGATAAGAAGGGAAGGTGAACTAACGGATTCTGGAGATGTTGAAGATCAAGGTGATGTCATGAAAGTGAATTCAGGTAAGTGATCAGGTTTACTCTTTGGAGGAGATAAATTCTTTTTTGGTTGAGACTTTCGGAAAGGTTGCTGAGGTGACAATTTTTTTTCCAGATATAAAGAGATTTGAATCTTCGGTTCTATATTGGCAAAGGAGGGTAGGAGAAGAGAAACTGAGTAAACGAAAGAGGTTTCGATTAAAGAAGATTCTCACTAAACTCAGAAAGGGGAAAACCCCAGTTAAACGTAAACATATCAAGGGTGTTTTCTTCTTTTTCTGTCTCTTTCTTTTCTCTCCTTATATCTTCTTATGGATATTTTGAGAGTAGGATCCTTAAATATTAATGGAGGGAGAGATAGGAATAAGAGAGCAATAATTACAGAATATGTTCCTCTCAAAGATATTAATGTAATGTTTTTACAGGAAACACATTCAGACAGTCAAAATGAAGTTGAATTGTATAGGTGGTGGGAAGGTGAATGTATTCTGAGTCATGGAACAAACTTGAGTGCAGGGGTAGCAATTCTTTTTTCTAAACATTTAGATCAAAATATTTTGTCCACTATTGAATTAGAACAAGGTAGAATTTTAATGGCTATAGTGGAAATTAAAGAGTTAAAGTTTCTTTTTATCAATGTGTATGCTCCAAATGTAGGTTTACAACGCATTGAAGTATTTAGGAAGTTAAACACTGAAATTAGAAAACATGTCGATGAGGGAATGTGTGTAATAATGGGAGGTGATTGTAATTGTACCACTAATTTTGTATTGGATAGAAATGGAGAAGAACCTCATTCACAATCTAGTCAAATGCTTCTTAAGATTACTCAAGAAGTAGAACTAATTGATGTGTGGAGAAATAGAAATCATTTAACAAAACAATACACATGGGTTAAAATATTAGACGATACTGTGACTGGAGCAAGACTGGGCAGAATATATGTAAATAAATCAGACAATAATAGAGTTATGAATGTTGGTGTATCTCCTTGTGGTTTTTCTGATCACCATATAGTGACTATTGATTTTAATACTACAGGGTATCGCATCCAAAATCTTATTGGCATTTCAATGTTAAACTGTTACATGATAAGTTTTTTTGTGAAAACTTTAAATGTTTTTGGGAAAAATGGAAACTAGAAAAGGAACATTTTGAAAATGTAATTCAGTGGTGGGAGGTAGGAAAAGTTCAAATCAAGATTTTTTGTCAGCAATTTTCTTATAATAATACGGTGATTGTTAAGAGAAATATTGAAAGGTTGGAGAAAGATATTAATGGTATGGAAAATTTGCTTGATTCGAATGCTTTGGGTGAAACTAATGATTTAAAGAAAAAGAGATTAGAGCTGAAAACTCTTCTAGAGGAAAGAGCAAAAGGTGCCTTAATCCGAGCAAGGATATCTTCCATCAAGGAGATGGATGCTCCAACAAAGTTATTTTTTAATCTAGAACGTAAAGTAGTAAAGAAAAAAAAATATGCTGTACCTTCGGAAGGGCAATGGCACATTAACTTCGGATCCCATTGAAATGAGAAAAATTGCAATTCTTTTTTATGCTGAACTTTTTGGGCCCAAAGACTGTGATCCTGCGAGAATGGATCAGTTATTGAAAGGACTACCTAACTTGAAACCTGAGGACAGAAAGACATTGGATAAAATGGTTACTTATGAAGAACTTTCAGAGGCTGTGATGCAACTGTCCACGGGACGTGCCCCGGGTGTAGATGGCTTGCCTGCTGAATTTTATAAATAATTTTGGAATGTTTTAGGAGAAGACTTTTACAATGTAATTGGTGAATGTCTCAAAAAGGGTATTTTACCCAGCAGCTGTCAAAGGGCAGTATTATCACTTCTGCCTAAAATTGGTGACTTAGGGTTGTTAAAAAATTGGCGCCCTGTATCTTTAATGTGCCAAGATTATAAAATACTGTCTAAATGTTTAGCAAATAGATTAAAAAAGTTTTTAAGTATTGTTGTGAAAAATTAGCAAACATACTGTGTTCCAGGACGCACAATACTGGATCATTTATTTTTAGTAAGAGATATAATTGACCTCTCTATGATAAATGATTTTAATATTGGTTTATTATCAATTGATCAAGAGAAGGCATTTGATTGTGTGGGCCATAACTACCTTATAAATGTTTTGAAAGCTTTTGGGTTTGGAGAAACTTTTATTTCATGGATAAAATTATTATATAGAGGGGCTTCAGTAATGCTTAAGGTTGGAAGGGGATTGAGTTGCCCAGTACCTGTTAAAAGGGGAATAAGGCAGGGTTGTCCACTTTCTGGACAACTCTTTAGTTTAGCTATCGAGCCTTTGTTAATTATGCTGAAAAATAATTTGAAAGGTTTTCATATACCAGGAGATGTTAATGGGTCAAGTGTCTCTGTTTCTGCTTACGCTGACGATGTAACTGTTTTTATTACTGGACAGGAGGATGTTCAGATACTGTGTAGAAGTTTAGCTTTATATGAAAGAGCTTCCACAGCTAAAGTAAACGGGGCAAAGAGTGAAGGATTTCTTGTGGGTCCCTGGGGCAATGGTGGGCCGCCTCAACTCCCAGGGGGATTACAAGGGGATACGGAAGGTATAAAAATTCTGGGAGTGTTTCTGGGTAAAGAAAGTTATAGACAAAAGAACTGGGAGGGTATGCTGGAGAGGGTGTCAGCCAAGTTGTCTAAATGGAATTGGCTATTACCTGAACTATCCTACAGGGGTAGAGTCTTGGTTACAAACAATCTGGCTGCATGCATGCTTTGGCACAGATTAAATGTGTTGGAGCCACCAAATGAAATGATAAAAGTTTTACAGAGAAGATTTGTCCATTTTTTTTGGTCGGGACAACATTGGCTTCCTGGATCTGTATTATATCTGCCTCTACAAGAAGGGGGACAGGCTCTGATAGACGTAAGAAGCAGGATTAATACTTTCAGGCTACAAACTGCACAGAGAATACTGTATGAAGAGGATCAAGGGTGGATTCGTGTTGCTTGTGCTCTTTTAAGGACAGCATCTGGTCTCGGTTACGACAAACAATTGTTTTTACTGAGACTAAAGGAACTGGACTTAAGTAATTTATCCCTGTTCTATCAGTCAATGTTAAAAGCTTGGCAAAATCATTTCAATGTCAACAGAGATCTTTCACAACCGAACGACTGGATTATGGGAGAACCTTTGTTATATGATCCATTGATACACACCAGGACATTGTCATCAGAAAGCTTGATAAATTGCTTGTTGAGAGCTGGACTAACAAAAATAGGTAATCTGAGTGACATTAAAGGGTGGAAAACGGCTGCAGCACTACAGTGTGACACGGGGATTCGATCTCTACGTCTTCTACAGCAGGTGATAGAAGAGGTGCAAAATGCGCTACCTGGAACCTGCAGGGAGGCACTGGAAATTCAACCATCTCAGGATTGGGAGAAAAAGTATCAGTTTCCATCCATTAGTATATCTGCAGTAGCAGATGAAAATTATGAAGATGCTGACACAATACTATCTTTTAAAACTCCGGAGATGGGACAGTTTCGTGAAGCAAGTAAGAAAGCCATCTATATTACTTGTGTTAAAGTTACCCATCAGACTGTTTTAAACCGAGTACAAGTAGGGAGGTGGACAGATGTGTTTGGGCCAGACTTTAGAGGATCCTGGAGGTCTCTGTACAAACCTCCTATTGAGAAACGTACAGCAGACCTACAGTGGAGACTTGTTCATGGTATCACAGCTACGAACAGACACGTGGCACACCTGAATCCAGCAGTGGGTAAGGAATGTCCTTTTTGTGGAATTGAAGAGACAGTTGAACATTTATTTATATATTGTATGAGGTTAGACAGTTTTTTTATTGTTTTAAAGAACTGTTTTGAAGGTTTAAGTGAAGATTTTTCTAATCAATATTTTATTAGTGGTCCCAAATATACATTTCATAAGAGAAGAAAAGTATGCTTATTAAACTTTTTGCTGGGTATGGCTAAAATGGCAATTTGGAAGACTCGAAAAAATAAGTTAACGGGTATAGGTTCAGTAGATGTAGTAGATATTTTTAGAAGCATGGTGAGTGCCAGAATCAGAATTGAATACACATATTTTAGATTGATTAATGATATTCAAATGTTTTCTGAAATATGGTCTGTTGGAGGAGTTTTGTGTGAAGTTTTGGAAAATGGTATGTTGGTTTTAAATTTTTAAAGAAATGTGGGTATTTATAAGTATATAGAAAAAATGTATAAATGTGAATATGTTTGAATGTATTATCATATGCGATTTTGTTAATTATTATATGGTCAGATAAGAAATCTGGAAAAAAGTTAAGGTTTTAATAAAAGTTGTATTAAGCCTCTCTCTCTCTCTCACACACACTCTCTCACACACACACACTCTATCTCTCTCTCTCTCTCTCACACACACACACACACACACACACACACTCACACTCCTCACCTGGACTTTGAGGCCGAGTTTCTTGCTGCGCTCGATCCCCTCTGTAGTCCAGGGCGCTGGCTCCAGGTCGTCGCGTCGCAGCAGGTATCTCCACACCAGGAACCCACACTTCCCGATCTCCGGCCAGTACTTCACCACCTGACAACAACACGCCACGCTCTCCAACATCACCACCAATGGTGCAACAAAGTGTTCAAGAGAACTTCATCTAATGTGGCTTAACGAACACAATGAACCAATCACTGCAAACCAAATGTTACTAAAAGATTAAAATCAAAGTACATGTCATGTTTTTCCTGGTTAATGTCATGAAATATCAAAATTCGGAACAGTTTTGTTCACTTTCAAAATAGAAATCCTCTTTTAGGGACAAAATCAGTTTTAAACATTGATGCGTGTATGTGCATGTGTGCGAGTGAGTGTGTGTGTGTGTGTGTGAGAGTGTGTGAGTGCGTGTGTGTGTGTGTGTGTGTGTGTGTGTGTGTGAGAGTGTGTGAGTGCGTGTGTGTGTGTGTGTGAGTGCGTGTGTGTGTGTGTGTGTGTGCGAGTGTGTGTGTGTGAGAGTGTGTGAGTGCGTGTGTGTGTGTGTGTGAGTGCGTGTGTGTGTGTGTGTGTGTGCGAGTGTGTGTGTGTGAGAGTGTGTGAGTGCGTGTGTGTGTGTGTGTGAGTGCGTGTGTGTGTGTGTGTGTGTGCGAGTGTGTGTGTGTGAGAGTGTGTGAGTGCGTGTGTGTGTGTGTGTGAGTGCGTGTGTGTGTGTGTGTGTGTGCGAGTGTGTGTGTGTGAGAGTGTGTGAGTGCGTGTGTGTGTGTGTGTGAGTGCGTGTGTGTGTGTGTGTGTGTGCGAGTGTGTGTGTGTGAGAGTGTGTGAGTGCGTGTGTGTGTGTGTGTGAGTGCGTGTGTGTGTGTGTGTGTGTGTGTGTGTGTGTACCTTATAAATGCCATCGTAGCGGTTTCCCTCCTCCGGTGCGTATTTGCTGATCCGTCGGCCCTTGGAGCTGCGAATCACTCTCACCGGTTTTCCCGCTCTCCAGTTGCGAGACTCCGCCCCATCCTTGTCGTTCAGAGGGGCGTCACAGTTCAGCGCCAGAGCCCTGAGAGGTCAGAGGTCAAGAAGGGCATGTACAGTCACAGTTTACATGCAGAGAGACGTGTAAAGATGAGAGCCGCGTGGATCACCTGTTCATGTGTGTGAGCGTCTGATCGAACGAGTGCTCGCCGATACGCTTGTTTCCGGAGAGGTCACGACCTCCGCTGCCGGTGTAGGTGAACTCATCACCCCGGTCCTGGAACACACATATGAAATAACAGACCAAAAAATGTTTATTGAGCCTTTTATTCATTTGATTCTGACTATTTTTTATTGCAATGCAATCACGATTTTATATCTCATAATTTTGACTTTTCTGTTCAGAATTGAGTTTATATGAGTTTACATCTTTTGCAATTTTGACTTTTTTTTTTTACTCGCAATTCTCTTTTTTTGTTTCCCCCACAGAATAAAAAATAAATAAAAAAGGTTATTGCCACTTTTTATCTCACAATTTTGACTTTATATCTCGCAATTCAATTAAATTAATCTATTAATTCTCACAAAACTGCAATTGCCTTTTTAATTATTTTATTCTGTGGTGAAAATAAGCTTTCATAGAGAGAATATTTTTATTTAAAAAAATTAAAAAGTTTGTGTATGTTTTTTTTTTGTTAAATATCATTTGATCATAAGGCGTTTATGGCTCATATACAGTAAGAATATGGAGCTCAATTTTATTCAGAGACTCAAACTGAGCAAAAATATGAATTTGGTGCAGATGCTGATATTTCTATGATGAAATTCTGATGCTTGTAAATCAATGAGATCTTTATAACAGCACAGCAGATACTGACATAAAATGATCTAAATATCAGTCATCGCTCTATATCTCCAGTAATATGTCTCAGTAAGATGAGATTGCTTAGAAATATGATCCAGCAGGTAAATGCTGAGATGAAATGAAGAAACACTCACAACTTCGTCCTCAAATCCTCCAGCGAGCACCAGCGAGTACGAGCCGTCGTTACTGCGTCCGTGAATCCCACCGACGTGAGGCCTGTGGACGCCCGCCTCGCTCACCTGACCACACACACACACACACACACACACACACACACACA